TTATTAGACATTTTCTACCTCTACTGTGGGACCTGTCCAAAATTGGGAACAAAAATTAAAGTGGTATTGGCCGTTGCTGTTCTTTCATCCTTTCCTCCGTCTGCCCTACAAACGGTGGCTTTTCTTCAGAACTTGCCGGTTCTTTTTCATAGCTAGCCCTCGTGGTTACTGCTTTCCTCTTAATCTGGGCCCATTTTGGGATGTAATTTAGACATCTAGATGTCATCTGAGAGATGGTAGCTAGTTTGCAGCAGTGTTTCTACTTTGGAAACACCTTTTTGATTTCCTGTCCGAGATCTTGCAAAAGCAGGCTCTGTTTGTCTTAATTTAGTTCTTCCCAGGGGAAGTTTTGCTCAATTAGACCTAGGGATTTCAAGCAGCCAGAGCCCTCTGATATGGCATCAGGGCCATGGGAGGACTGAGGATCCTATCTAATACTTTCTGATGCTTTGTGTTTTTAGTGATCTAGTTCTGTTTTTGAAAATCCCTGACAATGAAATTGCTGCCCCTTGCTGTTGGTCAAACTGTGTTTTGGAGAGTTGAAGTATGCCTTTTCTTTGAACCCAGAAATGTTCCTTTGTTATTTGAAGGCTGAAGTTTTCTCTGTTTTTTTAGGGGGAGCTGAAATTAGATTCTGTTAACAAAGTATACTAAAGCTGAGAGCAGTTTTGCAAGAATTTGTCTAAAATGGTATTTAGCCATTGCCTTTTGCTGTCTTCTCTCTTTCCCACCCACTCCCCACCATGAACCAATGTATTCAGGAAATATCTGTTGCTGCTGCACATTCAGAAAGCTGTAGTAATGTATTTTGGAATCCTTCTGTGTATGGGTAGTAGATAAAGATACAACATAAGTATGCAAGCAGGAGGAAGAACACTTCTTAGTCAGAAACGGTTGCATTCAACTATTAGGTTTTATTTTGTGTTTGATTTCTGTATTCTGTTTGGCTTGATAACTGATGCAGAGAAAATATTAATAAAACTTGGGTTTTCAGATATGTCTGTGATACTGCATGGAAATACCGGACTTCCATTTCTTCTTAACGAAAACATTTAATCTGGGCAGAGTTAGAGCTGACAGTTCCAAGGTGCATGACAATGCTCAAAGATTTTTCTCTCAGCTTGGTTTGCAGGATTTGGGTTATAGAAGCCTTCTTGTGTGTTTCCATATTTGCTTTGAAGGATTTCAGAGACATGAAAGATTGGGTGCCTAGTGACTGAAGAGCACCATTACTTCTGGAAAGGATAAACGTTTCAAGATAATGACGAATCAGCAAATCAATTAATCTGAAGTTATGGTTGGCTCTTTGATATATGCAAAATTGACCCCTGTGGATGACTGTCACTTTTACCTGGGCTGTAGATCAGTGGCCGCAACCAGTTAATGTTGTAAATTGGTCCCAGAGCAATTCTGTCTTCAGCTGGAAGTTCAGAACCTTCTTATTATTGTCTGTAAGTTGTCGTGGGGGTGAGAGGAAATGATCACTGGTGACAGATAAAATGCCTTAGTTTGTTTCTTTACTACTGTGAATAGCATAGTCAGGGCAGCCCTCATTAGTTTTTTGTTTAATTAAAGATGGCAGCATTTTTGTTCTGTCTTTGTCTGTCTTTATAATGCTTCAAAGAGTCTTTGTCTTTATTTTAATACTTTGAAACGTTTTAACAGATGTGCTTGTACCTCCTACAATTCTTTATATAGAAGCAGAAAAGACCTGTCCTATTTTACAGCACTCAAGCTAATCAAAACAAAACAAAACAGAGGGTAAAGCAGTATTTGCAGAAGATGCATAATTTCAACAGTCTAGTGCTGTAATTTGTGGCTGACCTCCAATATCCATATCTGTATCTGTTCCATTTTGTCTTTGTTACTCTGGAAGCCCTTAGTTTGCTGAACTGGAAAAAAGCTAATCTTGTCCTTAGAGTTGTGCTAGTTTAACCAGAAATATATTTTTTCAGAAGACTTGGTTAAACCAGTGCAAAACACAGGGAGAACTTCCAATTCTTAGTTTAAGGTTTGCATGTTTTGACCCAGATGAATTGAATGAAGAAGGTTCAAGCTACATAGATATAAATGTGACTGGATTGAGAATCAGTGTGAAGCTATGCTTTGTCTGAGGGGAATCCAGTTTGGAACAACTTTGAATATCATAGAATCACAGAATGGTAAGGGTTGGAAGAGACCTTATAGGTCATCCAGTTCCAACCCCCCTGCCATGAGCAGGGACACCTCCCACCAGACCAGGTTGCTCAAGGCCCTGTCCAACCTGGCCTTGAACACTGCCAGGGAGGGGGCAGCCACAGCTTCTCTGGGCAACCTGTGCCAGTGCCTCACCGCCCTCACAGGAAAGAATTTCTTCCTTATATCTCATCTAAACCTACCCTCTTTCAGTCTAAAGCCATGGCCCCTTGTCCTGTCGCTACAGGCCCTTGTAAAAGTCCCTCTCCAGCTTTCTTGCAGCCTTCCTTCAGGTACTAGAAGGCTGCTATAAGGTCTCCCCGGAGCCTTCTCTTCTCCAGGCTGAACAGCCCCAACTCTGTCAGCCTTTCTTCATGGGAGAGGTGTTCCATCCCTCTGATTGTTACATGTGTTTTAAAATATATAAAATAAATAAAATATTAAAATATGTTTTAAAATGAACAACATTAAGTTAATAATGGCCTGAATATCTGGAAGACAGGTTTTTAAGTGTTCTTTTTCTTACAAGATTTCTTTCAAAACCATTCATTAAACTGTTGATGCATGCTATATAACGTTGGAATGAAAACCGGTTAGACCAGATGACTTGGCTTTTTTCAGTCTCTCGTTTCCAGAAAGTGATCATTGTCCATGTTGGAAGTCTGAGCCCTGGTGGGATCACAGAGAATACAGAATTAAAGTTCTTGAGTGTGAAAGGTTAGAGTATCATGTGCAGGTTTTATTTATGAATAAGAGGTGAGGATGTGTTTGTATAACAGGCAAGCATGTCTCATAACTCATTCCAAAGAAAATCTTGTCTATAGTGTGGTAATTTAGGAGCCGATGTCTAGACTACTTCGAGAAACTGTAAACATGATGTCTTCAGAACAAAACCATGAGAGTCAAAGAAAAATGCTGCACATTGTATTTTTAATATTTGACTGAATTCCAGGGAGATCAGAATTATTTTGGCAATATTTGGTCTGCCTGACTGCTAGATGAATTACTGAAAGAATGCATATGCCAGTCCACAGTAACGTTTTCTTTTTTGAATACAACAGCTTTGGATTTGCATGATTACATGATGTAAACTGTGTATTTGTCAATAATGGAAAGTTTTTACTTTAAACAGTTGTGCACAATTTTATGTACATCTTCATCTTATTAAACTGTTTATACGTATTTGAGAATCCGTAGCATATGATCAAACTTTTTATTATTTCACCTAAATAACTTGATCTTTGTACTCGTGTAGAGAGCTGGTCAAACATTACGTTTAAGCTAGTGAGGATTTTTGGTTTTTATTCTACTACAGTTAATTTTGAACACTTTAATCTCAAGAATATCAAAACAGTTTTAGGAGGCAGGTAAATGCAGTTTTTCTGTTTGCTGTGTGCGAAGCTACATATTTTTTGTTAGTAGTTGAATAGTGTGCTTACTGTACCATTGGAATAGGTAGAATGTAGCCATAGCAGTATTTCCATCATTTGAAGTCTTTACTATTGGATTCTTCTGGTTGGTTTTGTTTTGGGGTGGGGAAGGACTTCTAGTTCAAGGACAGACATGCTTTAGTTTAGACAAAGTTACTGTTTTATACAGGTGTTATCAGATGAAGTGCAATTACCAGTCCCAATGATCTCTAGTCTGCAGTGTATTTGTAGGCATAGTCCAAATCTCATGTCAGGAAACCTTATTTGGGTATTATAACATAAAAGTGGAATTTCCATTTTACACCAAACAGTATTGTCCCATAGGTTATGCTGAGCTTAAGTCAGTCCCTAAATTAATGCATGTATTAAACTTAGAATGATGACAGCTTCGCAAAGATATTAGAAATGCCTCAACAAATTGATGTTGAATGTGTTGGATCTATATCCCGTGTATAATTGAAATTACTATATTAATAGCTTTTCTGTAAAGAGATTTTGTGGCAGCTTTTGGAGGAAAACGTTATCTTAGAGTTTAAGTAGTAATTGGAATGATGATTTGGGAAATAGATGTTTTCAACTGAATGTTAAGGATTTTTTTTATTCGCATCATTTGTTCTTCCTGTTTTTTTTATACACCTCGATGTTCTAGAACAGTGTTGATTTGGAGTCGTTCTGTAGAATTTGTAATGCAATATTTTCAACATTCCCATCAATACTGAAATTGCTGGTTTGGTTTTTTTACCCACTGGTCTATCAAGAATTTGCCTGGCAAGGAATGTGCCATTTTAAGCCGCTAGATAGTAGTGCTGTTACTTATGAGTTACTATTTTTGCTCTAACGGCTTCAGAATTCTTTAGAGACATTTGTTTGTCTCTCTTCTTTTTGAGGGAGAGGAAGTAATTTGCATGGGTCTGGACCAAAAGACCCGACCTTAACAGTTGGAAATGTATAGCTGAAAAGAGGAGAAATCTGTTATGTAGTGCTTTCTTAAATTTTATTTCATTTTTTAAGGACAAACAATTATACTGCTTTGACACCTTGAAGAAGTTAAGGCCTCTAAAGCTTCTAGTAATTTTTAGCAGTGGTGAGCTCCAGCTTGATTTCTTTGCAATATGGGAGAAAAACGAGCAGGACTGCATGCCATTGTAGTTAAACTGTTAAACGTAGAAACTTGAAGGGAGAAGCTTGTTTTACCTGTTTGGGGAGTATCTGTCAGCATATTTAAATGAAATTTTATTTTGAAACTGTGTGTTTGTAATTATTAGCACATTCCTAAGTAGCATAACTAGTTTGTGATCAAATGGTGGAGGTATACTCAAAACATGTAATAACATTCGTTGCACTGTAAACTCTGCAGCTTTTGTATTTATTTGTGTTATTTTTGTTTTTACAGGATTACAAAGCCATTGACATTTGCTGACTGTGTTGGTGATGAGCTTCCTTTAGGATGGGAAACTGTTTACGATCAACAGATTGGAGTTTATTATATGGACCACATAAATCGTGAGTAGATGTATGATTGTTTTGAGGAATCCTAGCAAGCTAATGTTAACTGGTGGCACTAACTTTGTTTCCAGTACCATTTAAGCACCTCATGCTACAGTGAGAAAATGTATGCAAGTGATTTCTTGCCGTATCTGTTCTCTCATCTTTCAAATGGGGGGGCACAATCCTTCTTCCATTTGTTAACACTTTTACAACTTGTGATTGAGCTATAGTGAGTAAAACTATTTTGTTTTGATTTTTCATACTGAGGTGTATCAGTAATTTTGTTGTTGCTTTTCGTCATATGTCAGTTATGAAATTTTCCTCCTGTACTCTTGTATTTCCTATTTTTCCAGCCATCCATAGTTCACTCTTCCATCTTGAAAGACAAAATACATTCTAAGAGAGGAGTGCTAATTTTTAATTAGAAGCACTATGAAATACAATAATGTCAGCCTCTCTTAAGCAATGTGTGTTTTATGCTTTAATACACTACAAAGTGTTATCAAAAAGACAACACATGTCCCTTTTGGAAAGTAAGAGGGAGAAATTTCCAATGTTTTCCCTTTTGGACTGTTGCTGAGCTTTGTATCACCACTGTCTGGCCAGTTCTACTTTTAGAAAAATGTCTTATCTTTACAGCTTTGTACTACTGCTGCTGTTACTGTTGTCATTAAGCTTCTTATCACCAATGAGCAAATGCTTGCAATATTGTGGGAATCATTAGTTGGTGGGGAGGGAGGAAAGAAGAAAGTAGTTATATGGGCTAGCACAGCAATGGTAAATAGTATGATCTGCAAAAACAACCTCAAGACTATCTACTTGAAATCTAGTCAATTAAAAAATAAAAATGTAGAAATAGTTTTGGGCTTCCTGCCATCATTGGAATTACTTGTGTAATGTCACTTCACAATTACTTATTTAAAAAAAAAAAAAAAAAAACAAAAAAGGAGAATAACAAATGTTCCCATGATATTGTTTGACCCACACAGGCACTTATTTGTTGTCAAATTAACAAAGATCACAAATTAAATAATAAACTTTAAAGAGCTGTTAATGCACTGATCGCAAGGATAGATAGCAGAGACAATTGAAAGGCAATAAATACAGACTGTTAGGTAATTCTTACAATAACTTAGTTTAAAAGAAGTAGTAGCATAATGATTGCTGTTTAAACTGTCATGGTAACTGTAGTTAATGTTGAACTTTAATAAAATTGAGGTTTACATCGGAGGACAGTGATGGAGTGCATTTACACCAACATATGTACCTGTGCATGAATCCAGATATTAGAAAAAAGACAAATGAGGATATTGGCAACTCTTCTTTTTTTTTGTCTTGAACTTTCTTTTCGCTATCAAAGATGCCTATCGGTAGGATGCTTTAGTAGCTTTTTTCGTCACAGCATTGCAATGGGTGTTCATGTTCTACTCATTATCTGTAGGGACTCCTAAAGCCTTTTACAGTCACCATTGCTTGCAAAAGAAATCAGTCCATTTTGCTTTTCAGACTTAGCTGCTTTAGCACAGACATCAAGTTTGAACTTACAGAAAGGATATTAATCATTGTAGGCATGTCTGATCTGGCCTGCATATTTTTTTTTTTTGTGCAGTCGAGACCAAAAACTGTAGAAGAGAGTCTTCGCAGAGAGAAATTGAATTCCTAAGTGCTCAATGGGAAGGCACAGAAAGAGAAGATTATTATAAATGGGTCTGGGAAAGTAAAGCTAATCATATTAGGAATTAAATGAAGGTTATATATGAACAGAGGGATAGGAACTTCATAGGGCCAGTGCTGAACTGAGTGAAAGGAATCCTTCTGTAATTAACAAGATTGCAAAATTTGTCTCTTTCATGATAACTAATTACTTGCAGCCCACAGATATTATCCTAAACAGTAATTCAACCGTCACAGCAAAATGGGTTTTTCACCCTTAGGCTAATACGGTGCTTGCATATACAAGCAAGATTTATATTCAGAGGGAAGACAGAGTTGATATTATAGCTGGATAATCATTATTCAAAAATTGGTAGGATACTCGGTCCAGTTTTAAACTGTGGACAGCCAAGGTACCGATCAAAAGTACATTAACCTCCTTTGTAGAAGTGAGAACTAATGAGCAGACAATCGTGTGCATCATGAAATGGTGTCAGGCAAGTGGCTGAGATGGTGTAGGAACTGAGTAAATGTTTTTCTGAAATGAGTCCCTTACGTTGTGTTCTGAACTCTGTCTAAAATACTTGGAGTGGCAACTTCCGCGTGAAAACATTCAGTCTGCCCTTTGTGGCTGACCAGGTTAAATGCTTTATACAGCACTGGAGTTCTGTGTTAATTGACAAAACAGCCAGAAGTGCTTCGGTTTGAAGAAACGCTGTGAGAAAATGCAAGGGGCAATTCAAAGAGAGGCTTTCTAAAGTTGTGCTTACCAGGGACCTCTCACGCTTTGTGCACTGTCTCAAGCTTTTGCACCTTTTGTAGGAAAACAGTAATACATCTGATTTTTCCAAGCCTCTTGCTATATTTGTTTACCCAGAAAGTAATAAAAAGATTTCTAGGCAATAACTTTCCATTCATATTGAAAAACCCCGGGAACAGAGGAATCTTCTGTCAATCTCAATGGTGCTTCCAGCCCTGATTTCCATCTTGTTCTGTAAATTCAGTACTTTGTTGACACCCTTACTAAGCTGTTCTTGGCTCTTGTCCAACCATTGCTTAAAAACCTTGGTGGCTGCCAGCCGCAGCATTCTTTTGCCTCCTCCTCAGAGTCTTGGGAGCCTTTGAAGTTTCCTTTAACCAGTTGGGCATTATTCCCCAGTGAGGGAATAATATATTCTCTGCATTTGTCTGGAACTATTCTTAAATTACTATAGATTTTAGTGTTTTGTTTTGTTTTTTTTTAATTGGTTATAAAGAAATGAAGGAAGTAAATTTTATCATAAGAGGTAGCTTTAGTTTTGTTGTTACATGGCGAACTTGTGTAGAAATCCAGGGCACAGTGAAGCCTCTGTACTTTATAAAACAGGAGAGAATGTCTCTACAGTACTGAAGAAGTTTTCTGCCTCAGAAGAATGCTGCTAGCTTTTGAGAAGACTTCTGAAATAATTTGGTAACAGATGCAGTACCCTGTAGTATGGGACCTCAGAAGCTTAATGTGTGATGCAACATAACATTTTAGCCTTGGCTGTTTACTGAGATTAGAACTATTAATTTCCTATTCAAAAAGAGACGCTTACTAGGATCTAGCTTTTCTGTCTCACAAATATTTATTAATTTCTGCATGGTTTCCATAGGGGTTTAGCAGTTTTAGGTATATTAAATTTGCACAGATTTCAGGAATACTTATGGACAGATGAGATAGCGTTGCAAATTATCATGCCCTTAGTAGAGGATGGGCTGCAATGTAAACTCTGTTTCTTCTGCTTGCCCTGCATGCAGAGAATGGTTTATGGAGGTTGGAACAAGCCACAGCACATCCTGCCTTTGGCTGCAGAGGTGATTTGAGGGCATTGGAGCCAGAAGATGCTGCAGGGAGTTGAGGGTCCCTGGGATATGGGAAGAAATTGCAGAACTATAGACGTGATCTTTATACTGATGCAATGTGAGGAGTAGTGGGAGAGAAAAGTTTGAGCTGTTGAGAGAAAAGGTTATTAGGAACATAATATACAAATCTTTTGGGAGTACTGTTCATAGATGATCTTCATGTTCTTGTTTATGTACTTTTCAGATGGCTCTCAAGTGGTAGAGCTGCTAGCATGACCCTGACACCATTAGAGTTCTTAATGTGTTGGGCTCAATCTCTTGTAGTTTCTTATTTCATCACTGACACCAGTATACTGAATTATGTACCCGAGATTAATACAAAACATAACTGCCTTTCATCTCTTGTGAGAAACAAAGTTTGGAAAAAATGACTAGGTGCTTACCTCCTGACTGTGCTGCAGGTTCTGCCACTACTTTGAACACTGACATTGCATCTGCAGCACCTTCTTACTGCTAGAGCCTCAATCATCTGAAATTAACATTCACTTCAACACAAGACTTTACATGGACACCCTCAAATAAAACATAGTTGCTAGATTGAGCGTCACCACAAAAAGAAAACAAATGAACCAATAATTTTTTAGGATTTTAATGCATGTGTCCTGAAAAGGTCTTTGCAACTGCAAAGAGATTGCTGTATGGTAATAACTTTGAAAATCAGTACATACGGGAAAGATTTTTGTATTGGAAACTTATTTTTGATTTGTGTTTGAATACAAACTGTTCTAAACTATGGGAAACTATGAGAGTGCTGTTTCCTAACACAAAATAAAGAAGCAATTTAAATGCTTTTGTGGAATGGAAATTAAAAGGCTAGCTTTTCTGTTGATTGACCTTCTTAATAACGCTTGTGTAGTCACTGACCTTTCAGGATGTTGTATTTGTGAAGCTGTATGTAGCATCTCAAGGTTGTTCCAGCCATTTGTAGAGCTGTGGGTTAAGCATAGAGATACCTTTCACTCTTCTGCGTGGTTCTGGGTTATTAGGTAGTTCTCAGAATTTTCAGGTTGGCTACGAGGGAAAGTTAGAGTGAAAACACTGTTTTCTTTGGGTTTTGCTCTAGTTTGTAAAGAAAACAGTGAAATTTAAATGCCTTTTATATTTGAAAGGGCTTTTGCTGTTCTTCCGCTCTGCATCCTTCCTTCTTTTCGTCCAGGCTGGAGTGATTTTGAGCACTATAGTGAGTGTTAGGTGTGCTAGTTGAGAACAGACCATAACAAAATAATTTGTACTATGTGGGATAAAGTGTCTTACAATTTTTTTTTTTCATGCTTTTCTCCTTAGAGCTCACACAAATTGAGGACCCAAGGGAGCAATGGAGAAGGGAGCAGGAGCGCATGCTAAAGGAATATTTAGTAGTTGCCCAGGAGGCACTCAATGCCAAGAAAGAGATTTACCAAATAAAGCAGCAGCGTTTTGAACTAGCCCAAGAAGAATATCAACAATTGCACAAAATGTGTGAGGATGACAGCCGTTCTTATGCCAGCTGTGAGTTCACTATTCTTTTCTTGATTTACCCACCTGCCTCTCGCAACATGTGGTGTGAGAAATAGCGGGAACTGTTTCCATCACCTGGTTCTCCTCTCACTGAAGATCCTGACTACAGGATTGAGGAGCTATACTTTGACTCTGCTATTCAGGGACTTCCATTTCCTGTTAGGTCTATTACAATATGCCTTTTTAACATTAAATGGGGATATATCCCAGCTAGCATCTCTAGCCATCTGGGAGCCAGCCGTAGCGATGCTTCATTGAAGGCAACAAAGACAAGATTGAGTGTTGTTCTACCAGCCACATGCTTACACTCCTAAATTCATAGATTATTTCACCCTTGACTAGGCAGGGAGCCATCAGCTTAGGGGATGCCTTCTGCGGATCCATGGTTGGTTTACCAACTTTTTTTAAAGAGTTAGGGATAAGGTATTGTGATAAAGAGTACCTCTGACCATGAATTAGGAAGCTGTGTTTCGTTAGCGCACTGCATTCTTCAATGCCAGCCTCTGATCCGAATGCTGGTGATGTAGGTTGTAGGGCCTTGATCTCCTGCGCTTTTCATTCTTCAGACATCTCTGGTAACTTGGAGTAGATGATATGCTTTTTCTGAAATCTGAAGTTGTTGCACTGCTGTCATGGCTATTAGCTGGTCCAACAGGAAAAGGTGTCTTTGCTGAAAAGTCAGAACAGTCTAGTTCAAAGTGTTTCAAAGGGATGTACCCACCAGCCACGTGCAAATATTGGAGTTTCACTGCGCTGGTGGCTTTTCAGTGGCTGCCGTGTGTACGGCCGTTGTTTACCTGCAGGATTTGCTGCTAAATGCCAAGTACTTGGTAAGTGTGGAAAGCTCTGCTTAGCCCTTTCTGAACGTGTTGAAGAAACCTGACCGTGGAGGGGGCGGTTAAAGCAGGCATCTGGGTAGAAACGTGTAGCTACTGATCCAGTGGTATTTATTAATCCAGGGTAATTTGTATGTGTACCAAAAGCCTTGAATAACAGATGTTTTCTAGGGCTGAGGTGTCCCAGATGGTCTTGACCAAGTGTTCTTTTACTGTTGAACTGGGATTATCTGATCTTTTTGTTTAGTTTTAAATATATGTATTCTGTGATTTAGTATGTGACATAACTGAACAGTTGTGACTAGTCTTACTTCTCCCTGTTATGTTCAAGTTTCTTGAGAATTAATAAGAAAGATTATTTTTGTTTTCTTATTAAGAAAGAAGGTTTAAACCAGAAATTTCGATTTAAAGAGTGTTTACTATTTAAAGACTTGGAACAGGGTAAGAGATAGTGTCATCAGTATTTTTTTTAAGATCATAAAATCTAAATATACATTTATTACAATACTTTTCTAGGAGCTTGGGCTTTGTTTTTTAAAAATTTTGCAATAGTTCAGTGGGATATTTTGTTGAATTACTTCAGGTGAATATACAGAAAGAAAATTCTGTTGAAGATGATAATATACCAGAAAAATATGACCGGTTTTTCATGTTTTTAAAGCTCTTGGAAAAACAAGTTGCTTGAAACAGCAACAAAATATGACTGAAAATGACAAAATTGGAGGTTATCTGTAGCATGAATGCAAATGCTATGTCAAATGACTTTCTCAATCTTCTGATTTTATTTTTTTAGGTACATCTGTGCAGTTGATAATGAGATACTGTAGAATCATTTAAATAAATGTTTTCATAACATTTCACTTGTTTGGAGGTGAAAAAATAGTTTTCTACAGATGTGCTAATGTATTTTATACTGGTTTAAGGTCATATGCATCTGTTTTGAGAAAGTGGGATGGGCTGATTAGTCAGATGACATATTTAAAAAATCCCTTTGGGGATTAATCATGCTGTCAACTCAAGATTGCCCAAGGCTTCTCCACTTGTTTTTCTTCATTCGACTCCTCCACTCCACTCCGGGATGCTTGCTCCTCCATTTGTTGTACAGAAATCTTAGGCGCCTAGTTCATGTGCAATTAGATGGCCAAAGCTGGGTGCTTATATGGTGATTATTCCTGCCTCCACCACCACTTGTTTCAATCTGTTGCTTTAAAAGAACTCAAACTTCACAAACTGTTTTCCTCCTCTTTCGCTGTGGGTGCTGTCATTGACTCAGTGTCGTGTGCTCATGAGTGGGAGGTGGCGTGAGCTCAGCGGTTATGGGTTGGCAGGGAGGTGCCCATGCAGCAGTTTTGTGACTCAGTTATGATCAGCACTGTTTAAAAAGAAAAAAAAAGGAAAAAAATCCATAGAAAATCCTGGATTTAGAGAGTTAGTCCAGGCATGACTACTCATTTTGGCATGTTCCTGCAAGCTTGACATGACCTTGGCGTTGCAGCATTCTTTCAAGAGTCGAAAGGCTCAGTGCAACAGAGACACGGATATGGGTTTCAGAGCAGCAGCCTTCAGCTCTACAAAAGGATGGTAGGTGTAACAGCACAACCCCATCCACTCGCATACCAGGCATTTTTCAGTGGGCCCATGCTGCCGTGAATGGCTCACTCAGTAAATCATGGCTGGGGGGAGGACCTTTACTTCATCTGTCTGGGCTTTAGCTTGTAATGCCACAGCTTGAAATCATTGCCTGACTCCAGATACGCAGTGTTAAGAGCTCATCGTGTGCCAGAGGTTGATCTGTGTGTCGGTTGCCTACACTGTTGCTTCAGGAGGCAACTTCTCTCTGTAGCTGATTGCATTTTGTTCTGACAAAAGTTTTGTTACTTTAGTCCCTATCATACTGTTACGTCAACATACCTAGAAAGCAATTAGCAATTGTTAATGTTACACAAATTACTTGCATCAGTAAATGCCACCATCCTGTCATGGAAGGTAGTTGCTTTTAGGCAACACACATGCAGTGCTGCTATATACAGTTTTTGTTGTTGTTGTTCAGGATAAAAAAAAATCAGGGAGGCTAAAGATAATTCTTCAGTTGTACTGTAACACAGAGGAATATTTTAAAACCTGATGACTTGTAACACAGAGAATGAATGCAATGGTCTGTTAAATAGTGCCACATCTTAACAAGTGTATTAAAGAAGATTTAAAAAAAGTAAAATACTGTTTTCCATCTGTTTAGCATTCTCTGGATTTTCGACTAATACCAAGTATGACCCATATCAGATTAAAGCAGAAATAGCCAGCCGTCGTGACAGAGTGAGTAATCTTTTTTCATTTTGTAAAAATATGAATTAAGCATGGGGAAGGGAGGGGGACTATGTGTTTTACCTTAGCATTCGCACTGGGTGTTGCATGCATTATTGGAAACATAATATTAAAAAATGCTTTTCTGTTCTGGCCTATTGTTCTCTTAAAGCGAGTCTATACTGTGAGTGACTTGCAAAGTAATGCTTTTTCCATGTTACAAATGTAAAGATTTTTGTCATGGATATCAGAGGCAAACTCAGCCAGACTTTCAGAAATTGTTTTCCCTGTGCGAACTGCCACAAGTAGTAAATGCTCTGCAGCTAAATTCTTCCTTGATTAAGTGAAGTTCAAACCCACAGTCTTCGTATTTTCCCATTTACCCGTTTTCAGTGGAGTTCCATGGATGTCATTGAACTCTCAATTTAGCCATTTATTTGGAAATCTGTTCACAATTCAGTAGACATGTTGGCCAAGTAGAACTTCTTAGCTGATGTGGCCAGAGCTTCTCTATGAGGGGAGGGGAGTTAAAGCATTCTGAGAGTGATAGGCCGTTCTGTTGTTTGGTGGTGTGTTTTTTGTTTTTTTTTTTTTTTTTTTTTAAACTAGAATCATGTTTTTGGTACTGTC